ATGTTCCAGTGAGGAGTTATCATGCCCGCCATCAAAAATAAGGACTTTTAATTACAAAAAACAACAACAACAAAAATAACAAACATTTTTTGTAAATTATTTTTCTTCTCTTTTAAATCTTCAAATATATATGTGCAAAGTTATAAACCTTAACAAGCATTGGTATTGATTTACCAGCCCATTGAAAATCTTGAAAAATTAAAATCGAGAATGGGTGGGGTTCCCTTAATGTTAAAATTTAAATTAATTATTTATTCATGTTTTTTAAGATTTTATGTTAAGATAAATCTATTGTTATGTTTAAGATTTTGGAGTAGTAGATGTATAGTGGTTTTTGGAACCGATCATGGCCTTGTGGCTAGATTCCCATCAGAGAATGACATCCATTCAACGCAACTAGTAGTACACCGGCTAACGCAATAGAAAAATCATTCATATTCACCAACGCAAATTCTCCTAAGCATAACATAAACACAAAAGCAAGGTAGATATACAAGGTAGCCGCATCGGCGAATTTCTACAACAAACATCGGTTGTTGTATTTTGATATGTCAAAAATATTTTGCCAAAACAAACAGATTGGCAAGATTTTTTTACACAAATTCTTGTAGAAACTGTTAATAAAAGTATTGCCAAAAAAGCTATTAGAAATTCGGAGATTTTCATTTATAATTTTGTTTTTTAATTTTTTGGTTCAACATTACAACAACATTTTTGACATTTATTTGTCCAACAGCTGGCCCGATGCGGCTACCTTATTAAATATACCATGCACAAAAGTAAGTCAAATACAAATGAATCCCACCGGACTACAATTGTTTCCACAAACAACGCAAATGATCGTTCATAGCAGAGTTTGCACTACCGAGTGTGTGGAGAGCGTAGGTTGAAATAAATCAACCACCAAATGAATAACGTCCCTGTCGTCAAATGAGTAGCTAACTACAAAAAAACCAATTTAAAGTTAGCTGGTATAGACTGGCTACAAAGCCACTACTACGCAATGCAAAAAAATGTATGAAAATATCGGCGATCGGCCACCAACGCCGTTCAATTTAAACGACGTAAATTTTAATGTACGCCTTGGAAGTGTAATTTTGTAAACAACAAATCCCGCGTTTAATTTGTCGATTGAAAGTCGTTTGTTTGTTTGTGAATAAAGTTTTGTGATTTTATCTAAAGTTTTACAGTGAGTTTTTAATTAAATGTAATAAATAATGTGGTTAAATGTAATGTGGTTTGAACACACAATTTTTTTAATACAGAAGAAAAAAAGAAACATGAGAAGTGCGAGTAAACGACATTTGAGGCGGAAAATAATCGTAACGACTATGTAAGTTTCCTAATAACATTTCTGATTTTGTTTATGTATCCATTAAATGATTTCTTTTTACTCCACAGATAAATACAATGAAAACCATATTGAGAGGACGTTTGCCAAAAACCCTCACAGGGATAATGGCAAATAATTTGTGCATGGACATAAATTTAAAGGGAATCCATGGAAAAAAACGTTTGAAGGACTTTCCTTATTTTTATGGTGTTCTAACAGGTAAATTTGAAAAAATATATATGATTTAAATCTAAAATCATGTACACATTTTCATACATATTTCTCATTTAAACAGATGCGTGTCGATCCCTTGGCTCTGAGGATGTAGATGCGGATCTACGCAACGCCCTAAAAATAATCAAGAAGCGTTGCATCCACTCTAAGTGCATCAAGAACAAAATAACTAAAACTAATAATTAATTTAATATTTTTAACAATTTTTTTATTCAAAATACAAATGTGTAAACTATTTTATTTACATTCCTAAGATTTTTAAAACCAATTTTATTAATTTTATTTTTATTATTAAACCGCAAATGTTCAAAATATTTATAAAAATCTTTGTGATAAATGATGTGATCCTTGTTATGTTTTTTATATTAATAAATTGTTGTTTTATAATAATGTAAATTTTTAAATCTCGTTTTATTTCAGCAAGATACAAATAGTGGCTTTTCACCTAACGTGCAAAAAACTAACTTTTCTCTGACTACAATTTGACTTACAAATAGTTAGTTTAAAAAAATTAACTGAAAGCGTATTTAAACAAGTAGATATATAGCTAACTGCAAAAAGTTAACTATAAGTTAACTGCTGGATAACTGACTATAAAGTTAACTGAAAGTAGTGCAAATTCGGACAATTGACTACTTCGTAGGACATCACAATGTAAAAATAGTCAGTTGGTTACAGGTAAAAAAGTCGATTTATCAACCACTACTAATTGAAAAAAGTTAGTTTTCAATTAGTTTAAAGTTAGTTGAATGTACGACAGGGGTGTTATACGATCAAATGACGTATTGTGTGAAAGAGTAAATACAAAACTGGTGTTGAGAATAACATTGAGAGTAACATTAAGAGTAATTTTCTATACACAGGGGTTGCGGTACAGTAAAATCTCGCTAATCCGGATAATTGATTGCAGACCCCAATCCGGATTACCGAGATTTCCGGATTATCGAGTTTTATTAATTGGTTTAAATTTATATTAATTTGCTGATAATTTAATTATTTTTATGTTTTTATTAAAAATGAAAATTATTCATTTCAAAAATATGAACTTTGAATATAATAGGTACCATTTTCAATTAAATGTGCAACGATTTTTTATTAAAATAAAAAGTAACGTATCTTTACAATCCGGATTTTTGAGTCAAATAGGTCAATCAATCCGGATTATAGGATACGCAATGGGTTGTGAAATGCAGTCCGGATTACCGAATAATCCGGATTGTCGAGGTCCGGATTATCAAGTTTATACTGTATTTTATTTTTGACTTGCGTTTTGCATAAAATAAAATAACGCAACTACAATTAATGGCAAATTAGAAATTAATAGTGCAAAAACGTTTTTAAACAAAAAATTAATTCATTTTTTTATTATAAAAAAAATTATAAAAATTCTACATATAAATAAGTCAGTATACTTATTAGGGGAAATAAAAAATGTATTTAAAAATTAAAAGAATAGTTCGTGTTTTATGAGAAATTTTAAAATATTATGTATAACATAACAGAAATAAAAATAAATTAAAAACTGGATTGTCATAGTTCATTCTAAAATTAAGTGATCATAAAAACAAACTTCACTCATAGAGTAGTACTGTTATGATGCGGTGCACCGCATTGATTCGATTGACTTTGTTTCTTTTGCGTTGTTTGCATTGTTTATGTTCTCCCGCACTCACATGCATAAAAACACTCTGAAAGAAGCCGGCGATAGCAGAGAGTGTTTATACGAAGATATGATGTGAATTGAAAACAATCGGTAAAGTGAGAGTCAACAATGGCAGTATTTTCACGAATGGCCGAGTGTTGACTGTACTATACCGCATCATTTGTAGTTGCGTTAAGTATTACTATCGCTTTATTTTATGCATAACGCAATTCAAAAAAAAAGCTACCGCATGTCCATCTCTGGTTCCCATTCATGAAAAATAAAGAAATTGAAATTGAAAAAAATGAAAAAAGAATATACCCAAAGTGGTGAAGGGTATCATATAGTCGGCCCGTCCGACTACTTTCCATAAATCTACAAAAATTAAAATTCCAACTTCAATTACCAAAGTAGCGAAATAAGCGAAAGTTCTTAATTTGGTGCACAATAAAATTTCTATACAAAAGTGTGTTACTTGCAAAGTAACTGCATAATCAGCGTGATCTTTATTGAATTTTAATATGGTGGGTAAATATGCAATAATTATGTCTGCTATGCGCAGAAATGCTTATTTTTTAATCAGAGAGGCATATTGTAACAATCGATTGTTTCGATCGATAGTATTAATTTGTTATGATGGGATTCGATTAGGTTTATGTGAATATAAATTCTAACTGCAAATATTAACTTAGTAGAGATGTTTAAATTAAATCAGCCATTTTACGCCCAGATACGACCTTTTTTCCAAAATGTTGAGCAAAAGTTGAAATGTTCAAAATAGAATATCATCTTGTTGGAATTCGTTAGTTCACTTTTAGCAGTATTTTTTCCTTGAAACAGTAGAGTTTACTTGAAAATATATCGAATACTTATATTAACAGCTGTATATTTTGACAGCTAATCTGATAATCAGCAGTTCTAGATGGAGTATTTTTTTATTGTACCATACAGTATACGAAACAAATCCGCCAATTCAGAAATAACATGCAGAAGATTATGTTAAGGTTTTTGAGTTATCGTGCCCGCCATTCGCAAAACAGAAAAACACTGACACAATAAATGCTGACACAAATTAAATCGACTATATCTTCAAGAGTTCTTGAGATTTTCGCTTGAAATTTTGTAGGGACATTCTTGAATTAGTGTAGATTCGAATTAGATCAAAAAAATTTTTGACCCCGACCCTTAATGTCTTAATATTTATATATTTATTATGCAAACGTATTCATATTTTTTTGTCGGAGACCGAAATGAGTGGTTGAGTCGTCGAATGACTCGACGATTATTTCTATATCTTGTCTTTTTATTGATTAATAACAGAGTACGGCGAACGATTAAAATACTCTCTTTCTCACGAATGCTCAAGGAGAGAATTTGATTGTTTTCAATTTATCGCAAATAATAAAGTTACAATGAATGAACAAACACTTGCAACCCTCGTAAATGTTCGCATTGCACGAAAATTGATCTTTCGCGAGTATTAGTTGTTGAAAAAAAAAGTTCGCGAGCGCTTTTAAAAATAACAACAAACAAAACACATTCATTCGTTGTGTGTTCTCTTTCGCGAATGTTCTCTTTCATTCGTGAGCGAATGTCAGAAAAAATTTCAATCAACAAACGAAGCGAACAGTCGTTGTGCTCTCCCTCGTTTGTTATGTGTGTGTGCGAACATTCGTTTGACGAATGCTCGTTTGGTAAAGAATTTATCGCGATAAATTCATTCGTAAAGTCTTGACAATTAAATAAGAAATATATATGTATGTAACATAATGTTTGCAAATGTTGACTTACCTCGGCTGGTGATAAACGATCTTTTGCATAGTAAGGATCCTTTTCCAACTCATCGGGTGATAATGTCAGATGCATTTTCTTATCTTCAAAATCCATGTCCTGTTCTTTTCGTTTATTTGCCTTTCGCATCATTTCTTTTGCAGTACGCAGACCTCGTTCCCATGCACTCTCAACAACAACGGGACCATCCCCTGATATTGGCCGAGTTTCATGTGCTGGTGCAAACACATTAGAAACGTGAGGTATAGCACTTCGGTGATGCAAAGAGGGTCGTTCTGTGCGGTAGTCGTGGTATTCAGAAGAATGTATATTATAACCTGAGGCTCTACTTCCCGTAGTTCCCCCTTGAAGCAATGGTACAGGCCTGACCAAATCAAACATAGTATAATTGCCCTTGTCCGTTACGCCGGGATGAAGAAAACGACAACTCATTCCCCATGTACACTGTCCTCTAGTGTAAAATCTGCAAACTGGCTTTGGCTCAGTTTCTTCAGGACGTTTATCGTCCTCGTCAGATACCTCACCTTCTTCCAGCTCTTCGTCGTCAACGGGTTTTGTTTTTGGCGAGGAATTAGCATTCTCGCTATTCTCTGTATTCTTCTCCTCGTTTTTGTCTTCATCTTTACTAACATCATTACATTCACCTTCTTCTGCTTCAAAATCAAGCGCATCATCATCATGAGTTTTTACCAAATCTTCCAATGATTCACCAACCATCCCACTTTTTCCATTTAAGGTTTTTCCATCACTTTCAGTTGAAGCGCCATTATTCTCAAGATCCTTTTAATTACAAACACAAATCAAATAATCTTTATTATATATCTTCAACAATTTTGATAGAAGTTCTATATATATATACATATTTATATAAGTTACATTGTATTTTTAATCTGTGTACAATTTATAGTTGAAATAAGTATATTAAGCTTTCGAAAGTCCGTTTTATTATAATTAGGGACAGTTTTAAATTACTGAAGAATTTTTAGTTATGTTATTATGGTTCATGAATATACACAGTGCAGGATGGTGACTTTGAATTTATTGCTAATAGTAAGATGTATTTTATAAGGATACGCCTAACATTTTACAAAAAACGTTGTTGTTAACGAAATTAAATTGTCATGATGACAATTAGTTTTTGGCAAAAATAAACAAAAACAATTATCCATTAATGTTTATTCTTTTTTGCCAATTGATGAATAATTAATGAATTTTTATATTCTTGAGTTTTTGGTAATTTTAGGTTAGTCAAAAAGTAAAGTTTAAGATCCGGTCACGAAGAGTAAGGATGTGTATGAAAAATATGTATTAAAACTTCGGGACCTGGAAGTGTTCGTTATAACCGGTGTCCGTTATAAGCGTACATTTTTGTCTTTTACTAACTTTACTTTCTCTTAGATGACTATCTCTATGTCCCCAGATTTATAATATAGTTTCACAATATGAGAGCGAGATGTTCAATAAACTTATTACATACTTTAAATGCTACATAAAATTGTATACATACGTTTAGCAGATTTTTCTTCATTTCCAATTTTTGTCGTAAATCCATTAAGGGTGAATTCGATTTCGTGTCTTCATGCGCATAGGAGTTCTTACTAGTCTGATCTTTCGAAGCATCATCTACTCCATTCGTACTTTCATCATCCATTGACTGTTTGCTGTTGTTGTAGTGTGATTCACGCTTTTCACTTTCCAAGTCACTAACGTCGCTGAGGTCTTCATGACTCATATTCATCTCAGATGTAGGATTGTGTCTCTCCTCACTGTTATTGCGACTGGGATTGGAAGACGTACTCGATCCCCTTGTACTCCTCCTTGGAGAATTAGATGAATGTATTTCATCGTTTTCACCCGTCTCATTGCCTTTGATGGGAGATCCTAACGCCTGAGCATTATCGAATTTATTATCTTCATCGTCGTCATTTTCACTGCTGGATGATGAGGATGAATCCGAATCTGACTTTGATTGAGATCTTTGCGATCCTTCATTGATTGATCCTGAACGTCGTGATCCCCTACTTCTTGAACTGCTAGCAGGACTTGCTGCTTTCTGTTTTTCTTCTGAGTTGTTATATGGAAGCGATTGTTCAGAGTTTGATGATGAATTAGATGCGGACGACCCTGGCCGTGAATCCTCTGACTCCATAATAACGGTTGATTGGAATTGTATTCACCAATGTACCTAGCAATTATTAATAAATAAATATTGTTACATTTATAAATGCTTAGCTTATTGACAATAGCATTGATTGCTTATACCGGATCTATATACATTGGTGGCCAAATTAAAGCAACTAAAATTGCATGCCGCATAACTTTTTTCAAAAACTATTTTATAACAGAAAATAATTTCGAGGAAATTCTCCGTGAATAAATCAGCGATTTCTCGAACTATAACTTGATCTTATGCAACCATAGCAGTAGTGACATTTCAGTACGGAGGAAGGCTGTAAAAGAACAACAGTTGGTACCAATCAACAAATTGTCATAGAAGTAAAAAATACCCATTTAAAAGTTCAACGGTATTTATTTATTTATTTATTTAAACTCTTAAAGTTCTTTTATATCTGAAAAATCCGAAAGGCAGATTGCCTTTCGCAAAAGCTCATACTATTTGGAATCCTACTCTGTGAAGAAATATAATGCTCTCAGATAAATTAAAGTTAAATATTAAAGACTCAGGCATTAAAAAATTCAAAGTAAAAGTCCAAAAAATTGACGGCTCATGCCACAGTATTGCATGGGTCGATATATTTACGAGATTTATGAATAATACACCCGTAGGTATGCTGCCGTAATGAAAAATAATAGTTATTCTGTCGATTGCTAGTAAAATTAAAAAAATAAAAAAATAAAACAGTTTTGGTCATGCAAAAATTGTTTTGATTTAGTGTTCCATAGAATATTATTTATTTCAAAATAAAATTTTGCGTATATTTTTTTTTATTTCTGAGACAACCTTCACTATAACTTTATTTTCAAAAAAAGTTACAGGTCATTTATTCAGATTGCAATTTCAGTGTTTTAGTATTGGCTACCAGTGTATATATTTTAGTAATGTAGTCAGGAATGCGTTAAATAGTACAATTAAAAAATCTGCTTATATTACATTATATATTCCAGAATAATGTATTTAAAAACTTGCTGAAAAAATAACAAGCGCCTGCAAATACTCATTTAAGGGGTCCTCCCCCATTCTCGATTTTAAAATTTCAAGATTTTCATTGGACTGGTAAATGAATACCAATGCATGTTAAGATTTGTAACTTTACACATATACAATTGAAGATTTAAAAGGGAAGAAAAATAATTTACAAATTTTTTTTTTATTATTTTGTTGTTGTTTTTTTGTGATTAAAGAAAAGTCCTTATTTTTATGCCGGGCATGATAACTCCTCACTGGAACATCGGAATCCGGAAATTCCAACGATGTTAGAAAGAGTACATGTCTGGCTCTCGTATGAACTAGGGTTATTGACTTAGCTCAAATATTAACAAAATGCGCACGTTTGAAAAAATGATATTAGTCTATTTTTGAACAGAAACTAAGTTAAAAAATAAGAAAGTTCTTCACGGATTGGATTTATCCTAGTTCAACGAGAGCTATACACTTCAAGAGAAACGTGTCAAAATTTGAAACCGATTGGATTATTTGTTTTTGAGTTATCGTGCCCACCATTCGTAAAAACAATATTCGAGAAATAATGCGTTTAAAGTTTGAGAATCACTCTTGCCGCCACTTGATGCTGACACAATAAATCGGCTATATCTTCAAGAGGTGTTGAGATTTTTCACTTGAAATTTTGTATGGACATTCTTGAATTAATGTAGATTCGAAAAACTAAATAAAATATTTTGACACCGAGAATGGGGGGTGGTCCCCATGCCGCTTGTAACGACCTGTTTTTTTACAAAATTTTCGAATTTTCATATAAATTTTAACGACGAAACCTCGAACAAAAATATTACAGCAAGTAACAGGACAGTTATGGTGGCGCTGGACCTATCAAAGGCATTTGATACCGTCAGTCAACACACCAAGCTGTTCGAACACGTCGAGAGAACAACCCTCCAGCCAAGTTTGAAACCTTGGATCGTAAATTATATGTGTGGACGCCAGTCGTACGTGGAATTCAGAAACAATGAGGGGTGATATCTCCGGAAATAGAGTGGTCGTGGCACAAATGAGATCTGGATTCTTATTAGTCACGAATTGACGGCGCGGTCAATAATATCTGCCCGACATATGGTAATGATCCACATGATACGCTACACCTTTTCAACTGCCAGCCAACCCCACTCATCTAACTCCAATTTCACAGTAGACGCAACTAATACAGGTCGCAGCCTTTTTGAACTTGGAGTTAGAAGCAGAACCAGATTAAAGAGAAAGCTGCTACAACAACAACGAGAAAATATTTCACAAAAAATACCGAAAACAACAACGTTCGAAAAAAGGGTTATGCCTTATTACTTTGTTCTTAAGTGTTTAAATTCTATGAAATATATGTATTTCTACTACCAATGATAAACCTCAACCAGTGAGCATTGTAGTATAGTCGGATGGGGGCAACCATATGATACCTAACACAACTACCATTGAACTCTACAAAAGGCATATATAGAACATATATAACATTCGACAGTAAGTTTAAATCGTCCGCGCAAACCACAGCTATCTGCTATAAGTTGAAAAGTCACTTGCCGGCAGCATTTGGGGCGCAGATTTGCATGATCTAGAGAGAGAGAGAGAAAGGTCCAACGTTACAGAGCAGGTCTGAATAGCATTCATAGTGATTCAGTAGCCGCAGCGCTGAACGGGTACAGATTGAATGCTGTCCTCAGAGCTCACCCCCCTCCCATAGCAGCTGAAGAACGTCAACTGCCCAGACAAACCAGAGTAGTTTTGGCCAAATTACGTTCAGAATGGTGCAGTCGTCTCAATTAGTATTGGGCACGGATTGATACCAGATGCAGGATATCTGCCCAGCATGAGGTACGGGCCCTCATACTACACTGCCTTATTCAATTCCCCAGCCAAATCTACTCATCTTACTCCAGAAGATCTGTGGTTACAGCCAGTAACCATCTCTCTAAATTTGGAGATAGAACCATATGAAATTTAAGCAGAAAAATATAATTAATATAAACTGCTACAACAACAACAACAACCATTGAACTCTAAGTTTCTGCGGATCTATTTTCCGAAACTGTGATATATTTCTCCATATTTGCACTTCCTTGACCGATTATTACTGCAAAAATATACTGGTTTTCTTCATCGAAGTCAAATTTGTCTTTTAAACAAAGTTTAGGTTTACAGAACAAATTGTTGAAAATTTAAGCAGATTTTATTTAATTTTAATTTTCATCAGACTTGTTGTTTTTTGTATACATTTTTTAATATTAACGGCATTTAAGTTAAAATTTCCAAGATGTGCTAATTACATGGCCTCTCAAATTTGTCTTGTTTCATAAATACCTATATATATCACTAATTTCCTGTGATGTTTTCTGTTCTCACACCTTATTGTTCTAGTACAGTACACATAAGCGTCTTAAGTAAAAAATTATTTAAAAATATTCTAAACGAATCGAGGGTTAATCAAAACATTTTTCCTAATGTTGTGTAAAAAATTAATATGAATATGTCTTACATACTCTAATTGAGAAGCTGTAGAAGATCCTCTGTCCCATATAAAGTGTTAGTAAATTGAAAACTTAAAACGCATTTTCTGCAAAATCTTTTTTTTTTTTTTGAGATATGCCTGTCTTGCAGCAAATGAGCGATATATATATTTCATAGAAATTAAACATTCTTTTGAATTCGTCGTTATACGATACGATTTTGACTGCACTATCAACTTTTCTAGTTTATGTCCCTAGTAGTAAATATATACGCCATAGAATGCAATATTAAGATCGGTATACTAAAGAGTGGGTGCAATATTTCGCGGCATTACAAACTTTTGTGGTCACACAAAGTTATAATGTATAATATAAAAATCATTTAAATGTCAACGTATCCCAGTTGTTCAATAAATATCAATTGTCTGCTATTTGTAAAGGGTACAAAAAGTAGACAGTTTGATTCAATTGTCAATTGAACATTTTTTATAGGAATATCATTCCATTTCAATAGTTACTGGTAATGCGAAGAGTATCAAGTATTTTATAGGTTACCAATGGATATAGAAATAATCAATGTTTCTCCCTCCTCTCTGACTCTGCGGGAGAGGAGTACTTGAGGAAGAACAAGGGTGAGCTTGTTTATGGAATGGGGAAACTTTGTTTCCGCCTCACCACTCCAAGACAATAGGCAGGCAGCAGCAAGCGCTTAACGTGATCCAGATTAATCTGCATCACTGTAGAGCAGCAGCTGCTGAACTGCTACTCACCCTTTCTTCCTCAAACATCGACGTGGCGCTCATCCAGGAACCTTACCTGTACAAAGGTAAGGTGACTGGACTGGGCGACACCAAATACACGCTTTTGTCTACCTCCAATGGAGAGAAGGTGAGAACGTGTATTCTTGCTAAAAAGGAGTTAAATTTAATGCTTCTTTCTAATTTCACCAATGGAGATATGACGACAGCAAGACTAGACAGAGGTACCACGAAGCCACTAATAGTCTCTGCCGTCAATCTTCCCTATGAAGCTCCTGACCCACCCGGCACTGTTGTATGCCGCCTATTGGAGGAGATGAGCAGAGTTGGTGATATCATCTTGGGATGTGACGCCAACGCACATCACTTCTATTGGGGAAGAAGCAACACAAACACAAGAGGTGAGTCCATCTTCGAGTTTATACTTAGCTATAATCTTAGAATTTGTAATAGAGGCAATACACCAACTTTTGTTAATAGGGTGAGAGGTGAAGAGAACAGAAACCTTATAGGAATCCTCGGAAGACGAACTGGGACAAATTCAAAACTAAAACAGCAGCCTCTTTTCGGGATCGTAATGATCTCAAAACGGTTGAGGATGTTGAATTAGCTGTGAAAAATGTCACGGCCACTCTTCTGAAGAGCTATGAGGCATCTTGTCCTCTAACATACCCTGGGAAGAAATCTCAGCCGGTATGGTGGTCACAGGACCTTGCAACCTTGCGGAAGGCTGCAAGGAAAGCTTATAATAGAGCTAGTA